CTGAGTCCAGGACGCTGTAGCATTCACCGTGCTGTAGCATTCGCTGAGTCCAGGACGCTGTAGCATTCACCGTGCTGTCGCATTCACTGAGCCGGAATGGACTCAATGACAATGAGGGAGGGGAGTTGCTGAGAAAAGAGGTCATCTATGGAGAATTCCATTCGATGATATCTTTGGAACATGACTTACCAGCATGTAAATCCCAAAACATATACATCAGAATACGTCTTGTTAAAAACTCATATTTCTAAGTCCCATGCCTGGTCTGCTGACTCAGAAATGCTGGGAATAGATTTGAAGGATTTGAATGGTTAAAAAGCACACTGTAATCTGAGAATAGCTGCTCCATAGCATAAACTCGCTGCCATCGAGGCAATGCTGACTCATAGTGACCCCCTGTGCGTTTCCGAGACTGTGCCTGTTTACAGAAGTAAAAAGGCCAGTTTTACTTCCAATGAGCTTCTGGTGGTTTCAAACTGCTGACCTAGAGGATAGCAGCCCAACATGTAACCACTATACCACCAGGGCCTTAAAGCAGGACATACCCCCTGGCATAAAGTACCTAACAAAGACAGAAGAGCTGACATCCTAGATGACGTTTGCCCATTTCACAGCTTTGAGTCTGACTAATGTGCCCTCTACAGGAGCCCTGCTGGTATCGTGGGCTGTGCACTGAGCTGCTAACTGCAGGTCAGTGGTTCGAGCCCACTGGTTCCTCTTCAGGAGAAAGGCCAGGCTGTCTTGTCCTGTGTAAATTTAATATCTCAGAACTCGAAGGGGCAACTCTCTCTGCCCTACAGGCTCCCTACCAATTGAAAGCAACTTGATGGCAGTGAATTTGCTTTGGTTTTGGTTACTATGTCTTCTGAGAGTCCGGGTGACACCAGGATTGAAGCACTGGGCGCCAACAGAAAGGTCAGCTGTTCGAAGCCACCAGACAGTCAGTGGGAGAAAGACGTGGCCATCGGCCTCTGCAAAGATTACAGACTTGGAAACTCTTTAGGGCATCGTGCCCCCTTCTAACTGAACTAACCTAACTCCCTGCCATCGAGTCCGTTCCAACCCATAGCAACATTCCAACCCATTCCACTGAGGACAGTGGAACTGCCTCCACGAGTTTCTGAGACGGTCACTTTCCATGGGAGTAGAAAGTCTCGTCTTTCTCCCACTGAGCAGCTGGTGGCTTCTAACGACCGACTTTGCAGTTAGCAGCCCAACGCAGGACCCGCTATGCCACCAGGGCTCCTACTCTGTTCGTACTGTCACGATGCGTTGGCATCAACTTGCCCGCTACTGGTTTGGTTGCTTTAATGTAATGTTCTCTAAACCTGGTGCACCTAACGCCGGTGGATGTTTCTGTTACAAACCTCAAAAGTGCCACCCATCGAGCCAGGGGACTCAGAAGTCGACATTAGGTATAAAGGGGTGATTGATTCCATTTCAGACTTGTTGAGTTTGAGAGACCTGTGGAACATCCAGAGTTTAGGAAAGAGGTCTGGCCTAGACATTGGTCAGGGCAACTATCAGCTGTAGCATAATTTCCATGGAAACAGTGTAGACACAAGAAAAACTTTTTCATGAGCTTGCGCTTGATAGCTGATCAATGCATTACTCTCGGGCTGTTTAAACATTCAAAAGCAAAACAGTGGCTTGGTTAAGGAGAATGATGCAGCAAAATGACAATATGATGTAGCAACAGTGGTCATGGATGATGTCCATGCTGGTCCATTTCATCTCGGTTTCCATTTTGAATGTGTGGTAGAGCTGATAGAGCCAGGGAGCTGCTGATAGAAGAAAGCAATCTTTTTTTCCATCAGGAATTGATGTATACTTTGCAAGCGGGCAAAGAGGGAAATAGCACTCCAGTATCTGTCGCTCTGGGGGCTCATGATTTGCCGGTGGCGGCGGCACCAGGCATCTGTGAGACTTTAGGGAGACGTTGCAATAGCATGGTGGTTTGAAGCACAGAATCACTTGCCAAACCACCATTCAAGCGTTTCTGTCACCTGTCAAAGTGCTAATGTGTCCTGATGGCGTAGTGGGTTATGCATTTGTGCTGCTAGCCTCATGGTAGGAGGTTCAAACCCACCAATCACTCCTTGGGAGAAAGATGAGGCGATCTCTCCCCAAAATGATTTACAGTGGTGGAAACACTTAAGGAGCGGTGTGTGTGGTCATGCTCTTTCTGCAGGTGAATGCAGTGCGGGTGTACGTGAACAGCTCCTCTGAGAACCTCGATTTCCCGGTCCTCGTTGTCGTTCGCCAGCAGAAAGGGGTGCTGTCCTGGCAGGTGCCCCTGCTCTTCCAAGGACTGTAAGTGGGCCTTTCCCTAGGCACCAAATCTCACAATATGTTGCTCCTTTCAATGCCCTCGAACTTGGTTGATCTTATCCTGGGTGAAAGAAGTTTGGAATGTTGATAGTTTATACAGACCACGTTGTCTCCCATGTTCCTGGGTAGCACAAACCGGTAACCAGCTGTTCCCCTGCATGTTTCAGGCTCCAGCCCCTCCCCTTTGATGCCACATGAAAAGATCTATCAATCTGCTTCAGAAAAGCCAGTCACGGAAACCCCCACAGAGTACAGGTCTACTCTGACACACACTGGGTGGCCACAAGCAAGGTTCAGTGTCTATGGCAATCGGTTGTGTTTATGTTTGTTTGTTTTTAAGTGCAGTCTATAGGGCCTACCCATAGCTTTTTTAGCTCTGTCCAATTTAATCTTCTTCCAATTTCAGATAAGCACTTCCTGCATATTTTATACCTGGTAGAATTTTTCCCTATTATGTTTTCTCCAGCATCTTTTTAGCTATGGTGGGAGAGAGCCCCATCCACCACATAAGATGTATGCAGTGATCATTCAGTAGCACTGACTGAGCACCACCAAATGATAGGTGTGGTGGGGACACAGCGGTTAAGGGGAAAGGCAGAGCTCCTGCCCTCGGGAGCTTACCTTTCCATGGGGGGAACTGTACCAGACCATTACACTAGGAAGAGCAGGCCCCAAAGACAGACAGACATGAGCTCTTAACTAAAATTTAGTTAATTAATATTTAAAGGCTGAAGCATTTGAAGATTGAAATACTGACTTTAACAGCCTTCAGTGATACTCTCTTTGTATTCCACTTTGGAGAACAGAACACCCTGGTTGTTTTATCAGGACCACTGACTCTCGGCATTGGACATGTCTTCCTCACTGAGTCAGCAGAATGTGGTAATGGAATGTGGACCCTGCATGCATGAACTAGGCGACATAGAGGGGATCATCACAGCCCTGATATTACACAGCCCTGTCCCAACACCGCCAGTTTGAAATCACTACCAACAGGTCCAGTCTGAAAGGACAGATGGAGGACTTGGAAACAAATATGGGAGATATGAAATGAGATAGGCTTCCCTCCCTGCCTGTTCATTGAGTCTCTTCCTTGTTTTTGCTGGGGGTCCCCCACCACCACCACCACCACCACCGCTGGCTCCTGCAGATACCAGAGGAGCTACAACTACCAGGAAGTGAGCCGCACCTTATGTCCCTTGGAAGCGACCAATGACACAGGACCTTTGCAGCAGCTGATCTTTGTAGATGTGGCATCCATGGCGCCCCTGGGGGCTCAGTACAAACTGCTGGTCACCAAGATCAAACACTTTCAACTCCGGTAAGCAAGATTCTGTGTTGCCTCTGCCTCTTCATTTGTCTTCCCTCCTTGTGCTCAATTCAGCTCCCCTCCCCACGGATTTGTGCTAAAGGAAATGATCCCAGTGGTATAGCCCATTCTCAACTCCTGAACTTTCCGGCTTTTCTTAACTGGGTCGCAGGGTCACAGTCTATGCAGTACAAATGGAGAAGGGGGTGGGAGCAAAGCGTAAGAGCAGTGGCCCTCAGAAGTCTGTCTGTCCCAGGGGCCCAGTGGAAGGGCTTTGTCCTATCTGACATCTAGGCAAGAGTCATTGAGAACTGGTTCCCTTTTCCCCCCTCACAGTTTTATTGGCATATAAATCACATGTCACACAATTCGATCACATCAAGAAGAGTTGTACAGTCACCACCTCAATCACTTTTAGAGCATCTTCTTCAATCTTGTACTCATCCTTATTAGTTCCCCATGTCCCCTAACCTCCCCTGCCAGACCCCCAAGAAACCATTCATGCAGCCACTGTGCCTGCAGATTCACCTTCCTGTGCCTTTCCTACACAGGAAAAGCATTAACAAACAAAACAGTAACAAAGTAAAACAGATAAAAGCGTTAATAGAAAAGAAAGCAGAAAATATGCTTTAAGAAGCTAGAACAGATTTAAATGGGTTATAAGGAAAATTAAATGATAGGATGCTAAATTTTAACCTAACTGCGACAGCAACGATCCACTTTCCAATGCATCCGCATGTTGTCCAGGATGCTCTTCCCATCCTTGGTCCATGGTCATGGGGAAGTCCACAGGGCTAAATCCAGTGCTTTTCCCCTTCACGGCTTCCGTTTGTTTGTTCTGGAGAACTGGGTGCTTTGGTATTACCAACCGACCAACCAAACCAACTATGATGAATGCGTTTTTATTGTTGTTTAGGAGGACATTAAGCTTTTTTTCCCCTATCTGAGTTTTCTTCCTCTAGATTAAGAACATACGTAGGTAGGAAGTGTAGGCTATGTGACTTTGTCCTTTGTGCAAACGTAGTGACCCTTGTCTCCCTCTCCTTACCACCGGGCTTCGAACCGAGGTAGTTGGGATGTGGTTGGTGTTGTGAGCACTGACCATAGCCTTGTTCGGTACGAGAGACCGATATGGCCTGGTCTGTCTCCCTCCTCCAGTCACTGCCCTGTCCCAGCAGCCTTGATGACAGTCCACCTCGTTGAAGGACTTTCTTTTTCTCGCTGACCCTCCCCTTTACCAAGCGCGAAGTCCTCCAGGAACTGGAGTTGGGGACACACCAGCTGAAATTGTTTAGAGGATCAGTGGGATACAGGAAGTTTAGGCGGGGCTATCGTCTCCGAGGGATCTGCTCACCCCCAGAGGTGACGCTTATCAGACCATCCTGTCAGTGAGATCTTCAGCAGAACGGCGGAGGTCACTCCTCCAGAAGTCCAGTCAACTCTAGGGACATTTCTCCCTTGGCCTAGTCTGAGACTTCTCAAAGGGTGCAAACTAGCTCCTCAGCCCTCCTGCTTCGAGTGCATTCTATTTCATGAGACTATATCATGTGCATAATTAATGCAGAATAATAATAAACTACGGTGGGGCTTCCTGGTAAGCATGTACCTGCTAACTGCACAGTCTGCATTTTACAATCATCCGCTGCTCAGCCAGAAAAAGATAAGGCTCTCAGCTTTCATAAATATTCACATCCTCAGAAACCCGATATGGGATCACTATGAGTAGAAATAACTTAGCAGTAATAACATGTTTGGTATATTCTAAGATTAAAACAATAATTTTAAAGAAACTTCTATTATCATTAACCAATATACAACCCACAGAAGTAGGGCCATGAATGATAACTGATGTATTTTCTCCATAACAACAACTCATTGATTTTACAGTAGGTATTTTGATAGGAGGAGACGATAAAAAAAGAAAACATTGGTTATCTAAGTTATTTCCATGTTTCATAAAGCACCACTAAGAGGGGAAAAGAGCAGTCCTTAAACAAGGAGCATGTACTCCGCCCACACACCAATGCCAAAGGGCTTATACACTGATAACTCTGCTCTCCTTGCCAGCAAGTCGAGGCTGCCTCATGGCCGCCCTGTTGGACAGGGGAGAACTGCCCGTGTGGGTTTCTGAGACGTTAACTCTGTATGGGAATAGAAAGCCCCATCTTTCTCCCAAGGAGCAGCTGATAGTTTCAAACAGCTGACTTTGTGGATCTCAGCCCAACCCTTAACACACACACACAGTGTATGTGTGTGTGTGTGTATAATGAACTCCTACAAATCAATAACAGAAAGTCAAGCAAGCTCCTGGCTGCTGCCCACCCTCCTGGGGCTCTGTAATCCTATGGTGAGACCCCTGATGCCTCCAGGGGCTAAGAATTTGTCACTGTCGGGGCTGGCCCACAGTTCCCTGAAACGTATGGATATTCTGAGGCAGGAATGAGATCTCCAAAAGGCCAGTGCTTCTCCAAGGACAAAGTACGGGGTTCGGAGGAAAGGAGACATGAAGCTGGGAGACAAAGGGAGGGCGTGGGATCAAGGTGGGGGGAGGGGAGCGGCAGAATGGGCACGAGTTGTTAACCGTGAGGCTAATGATGCCCTGCTCCACGAACCTTCCCACATCACAATGGAAAGTGTTTGCTTTGTCTGTAAAAGGAGGAGCTCGCCGGAGCAGAAGAATCTCGGAAGGGGAATCAGTGTTTAGATTCACCCAATGAAATGCACGCATCTAACCTGGACAAGTTCACGTTAGTGTCATGAATGGATACGTGTGCACATTCTTAAAAGAGGGTGGACGGGAACAAAACCCTGTTCTAAGAAAAGATGGAAAGGGAGCAGAGCAAAAGCCCTCTATGAAGAGACAGGCACTGAGCACTCTCTTCAAACTGACCGAAGCGCTACTTTCAGGAAGCACTATGAACTTCAAGGAGAACACATGCTAAGGAAGCCATCAACCTGATAAAAATCACAGGTACAGAGACTACCTAAAACCCAGTCAGAGGACAGTGGCAAATTACATTCAATGGAGCAAATAAAACGGGCAGGCTTCTTCTGAACTTTTTAATAGAAGTCAGGCAATCATGAAGTCATGTTTTTAAGGAAACAACAGCAAATTTCTAGATTCAGAAATAAGATCTGGACTATCACACACACATACAAAGTTATTTTTTAGCAAAGTATACTAAATAGAATGTATTTTATAGATACAAGGAGCTTCAAAAATCTATTATCTTTTAATTCAGTTTATTTAAATTTCCAAGATGGTAACTGATTCCGGGGTGTTCGTTTTGAATTGCTAACTTTATGGATCAAGGCCCAACATGTAACCACTACACCACCAGGGCTCCCTTTAAATCCATACATATGCAATATAATATAAATACATACATACATACATATCACATACATACTTGGAACCAATTTGAGGACATCTAACAACAACAACATGGTACAGACATACCTGGATAGAACCAAACTCCATAAAAAACCTCACTGAGTTGGTAAAGTCTGGCCATTGATAAATACATATAGATGCATGTGTGTGTGTATGTATGTATATATATACATATATACTTCCAAAGTGATTCTACAATGCAACCCAAGTTTAAAAAATGCTACCCAAACACAATTTCTTCATATGGTACTTCAGTTTAATTTTAATTATTGTAAAATATCTGTTTATGATATTAAAAGATATGAGAGTACATAGTAAAACATATGAGGGGAGTAGCTGCAGATGACTGGACTAGAGTACAACTGAGTATTATCACCCTCACTGTGCGGCTTTGAAGTATTGCTGTCACCTGGTGGCAGTGCACTTGAATTGTAGGGCCATTTTTTTTCTGCAAGGTTAAGGGGTTCTATGCTTTGGAGCATAGAACTCTGTGAAAAAGAAATCATAAGCTTACGCTCTGTGCCGCATGGATAGATGATTTTCATCCTAGCTCAAAGTGCAGATCTAGTCCTCATATTGTTGTCGGTTTTCACCTCTTATAATGTGACTTGACCGTAGCAACCAGACATTCAGAGCATTTCAAAATGCACACAGTGACTAGGACTTTCGTGAGCACAGACTGAAGCTGAGATAGACCGTTCTCTTCCTCCCTGACCAGCTTTTGCTGGGTGCTATCCCACATCAGCATTACAGTTGTCCAGAAATCCAGGGAAGGGTGGCAGTGAGTATCCGGTCTTTAGGTCTCAATCGGTACACTAAAGAATTAGCCCCAAATTCCTAACATGATGGTTTCTGTTACATATTTTTAATTGGAAGTCTTCAATATTTGGAATAAATTCTGGGACTTTTCTTCTGGAATCATCGTTTTAGGAAGAGAAAGAACTTGGGGGTCTAGTTGATTCAAACCATTTTTACAGAAGAGTAAACTATCACTTAGTGAAAGAGTCAAGAAACACACCTGGGATAGTCACAAATTTAATAAATATTTGTGAGAGAATCAAGAATCTAATCCTTGATGCCAAATCACCGCCCTGACCAATGACCCCAGCCATGTTGAGTATTTGTTGCAAAGAGAGCATGAGTGAGAGGGAAAATTAGGAATAAAATAAGAAAGATGGCCTTGAAGAACATTAAAGAAGTCAGAGAGGGTTAAACGATCAAATTCTTTTAATTTGATAGGATAGATGTTAAGAAAATAGAGCCAGCAGAGACCACTGGTGGTTGTTTAAAAATTTTTTTTAATCATTTTATTGGGGGTTCTGACAGCTATTATAGCAATCCATATCTCCATTGTATCAAGCACATTTGTACATATGTTGCCATCAGAGACAAAATGAGTAAAGAAAGAGACTTTTAGACCATTTTACTCTGTCATGTAATTGCCCTTTGATATTGAGGAAGACTAACAGGCTCAGTCACTGTTGTTTTGTTATTGTTACTGCATACTGTATTGTGCAAAAGTGGTGCAAAGACATGGAAGAAACATACCAGTTTGTGTGATCATGAGGTGTTAACGGGATCTGGTGTCAGGTATCAAAAAATCCAAAACAAACAATTATATTGATGTCAATGAGGGGGGTCAGAGTGGAGACCCAAAGCCCATCTGTACACAGTTGGACATCCCTCACAGAAGGGTCACAAAGAAGGGACGATTCAACCAGGGTGCAGTATAGCACCGACGAAACACACATCATTCTTCTCGTTCCTAAATGCTTTCCCCACCCTCTATCATTACCAAGTTCTACCTTACAAATCCAACTAGACCAGAGCATGTACACTGGTACAGATAACAGCTCTCAACACACAGAATCCAGGACAGATAAAGCCCTCAGGAACAGTAGTGGGAGTATCGAAGGAAGTGGGGTTGGTAACAAGAAGCAGGGAGGAAGTGGAATAAGTGATGCTTCATTGTGGGGATTGCAATCAATGACATAAAACAATGTGTATGACTTGTCGAACAGAAAACTGATCTGCTCATAAACTTTCATCCAACTCATGAAAAAGGGCGTGTTTTTTTTCTTTACAAGAGGTTGATACAAAAACACAAATACTTTATAATTCCACTTCCATGGCATATTTTAAAAAGGCAAACTCTTAAAGGCAGAAATGTAGATCCAGAGGATGCCGGAAGCTGGGAGGGGAGGAGAGAACAGAACGGATCACTTAAGGGGTACAAACTTTTTGTTTGGGATGATGAGAAACTTTGGAAATAGATCATGATTATGCTTGCACAACATTATATTGTATGTATGTGCTACAGACATGCGCGCGCACACACGGCATTTAAAGAAGAGAGAGAGAAATCAAGGACTGTGTAGGCATAGCCAAGTGTGTTAGAGAAACCAGGGAAAAGTAGGTGTCACTCAGTCAAAGTGAGATTTTCACAACAAAGGGAGTGATTGTCAGTGTCAAATGTCCCGGCGGCGGGCGCGCTAAGGGGACGTGAGGGTTCACCCATTCCATCCTGCAAACAGTACAGCGCTGCGATCCTCAGCAAGGCCAATTTCAGGGGAATCTGGGAAAGGACCTTGATCGCAGGGGATGGAGGGAAGAATGAGAAATGAGAGTAGATGGCCCTTGGTTTGTGAACGAGAGGGCGCGTTGGCGTGAGTTTGCTATCCTTTTTTGAAGCTAGTTGAGACTACAGTCTGCGTGTGCTCTCATAGACAGGGGCAGAGTACATTTTAAGGAGCATTGGCTATTTGTAAGAGCGAAGCCCCAGAAATGGAAAGAACCTATAGGAATGGGGTATGCATGCAGAGGATCAGAGGGGTGCAGGATCGCAGATGTGAGAAGGCAGGAGGGAGCAGGTAAGAGAGCTCCGGACAGATGGCAGTGGGGAGGAAACAGGGAAGGCCATGCAAAGTCCACACCCCAAGTGAGTAATACCTTTCTTTAGCAAACAGAGTGTGGGCTTTGAACACCTATTCTGCTCTGTGCAGTGTTGTGCTGGGCCTCGCTAGGATAAGCTGCATAGGCTTCTGTAAGACTCACAGTCCTGTGAAACTCACCTCAAGAACTATTGTCCTGTCTCTCAGCAGGAACTTGTAATCCTCGCCTGTCGACCTGCACAGGCACACCTTCTCCATGGCCTCCTTTTCCGCCCCTTAGCCACTCCTCCCCATCTCCCTTATCTGCCCCTCTGGTCTCTTAACCTCTCTCTTCTTTTTTCCCTCCCTTCCTCCTTAAATTAGCCAAAACAAGGAAACAAAATCCATTTCTAGCCTTCTATTCATGTTTTAAGCATTTATTTTTTGTGTTTCATTTTTGAAACAAGTTGAAAATCCATGCCCTTTCTTGCTCTCAAATGAAAAGAGAATTTGAATCTCACTTAGCTTTGTTCTGTGGATTAATGGCCCTTAGAAAAATAAACCCTGCCCACCCCTGCTAAGCACCCCGGGAAAGGAAGTTACATTTACATTATTTCATCTACAGCGGACACGATGTTTGTTTTGCACATGCTGTTGACTCCATGAAAGAGCGAGCTTAAATGTTTTCATACTAAAGAAACAAGATGATCCCAGAGTTTGTATGAGTAATATTAGTCAATAAAACGTGAACGAGGGGTGGGGCAAGAAAGGAAGAAAATGCAGATCTCTGTCCATACATTCAGTTTTATACTAGAATTCAAGTGACGGGGTGGGGGGAGGGATAAAAAACAAATTTCTGGCCAAAGAAAACTGACTGCTCCTGGAAAGAACATGCTTTCTGTTGCTAGCCAAGAAAATCAGTGTTTTCTTCATTCCCCTGAATGAGGAGCAAAGAGGAGGCCAGGCCCTGGGTTGTCCTGGTAACAGCAGGTGACACTCCCTCAAGCCTCACACTGCCCAGGCCCTGAACCCTGATCTTGGAATCTCTGGAGCAAACGCATAACTGGGTTTAACGCTGTGTTTGGGAGAAAGATGAGACTTTCTATTCCTGTAAAGAGTTATAGTCTCAGGAACCCGTGGCTACAGTCCTCCTGCCCTATAGGGCCACTCTGAGTCAGACTGAACTCAATGCCAGTGAGTCTGAGTTTAATTGTGGTTTCTCTAAGTGACTTAGATTGGACATGTTCGACTGCACCTCAACGGAATGGACCTTTGGCATCAATGGCAAGTTCTGTTGATAGTGGGTACACAACAACGGTGTCCGCTGCTGCGATCTCAATTGCAAGCCTAGTCTTCCTGTACTCTCAATGGTTGGTCATTACCTTAGAAACCGTGCTCGATTTGTATTGCTTCTAAGCAGTACTTCCAGTTATAAACATCTTGATAAAATGCCTTGACATGCCTCTTTCTGAAAGGGAACAAAAGCTGTTTTTTGGGTTTTTTTACTTTTTAACACTTTTTCCCCCCACCTCTCTCTCTCTCTTAATTCACCATTGTATTGGGAAGCTCTTACAGATCTTTTAACAATCCACACTTCACTTGTAGTGAGCACAATTGTACGTATGTTGCCATCATCATCCCCAAAACATTTTCTTTCTACTTGAGCCAGTGATACCAGCTCCTCTTAAGCTGTTTAATTTTTGTAGAAGGGAAATCATAAGTGGAGAGAAGTTCAGGTTCAGATTCCTAGAAATGGAGGCTGCATTGCAGGGCTGAACGTCATAACCTCCGCTCAGGTTTGGTTTCACAGCAGCCTGAGCAGTGAGAGTAGAGTGGGCTTACATGGGTGAGTGTAGTAGTTACATAATCTGGGGTCAATGTGAGACTAAGAGTGGCGTCTAGCCTGTCAATCAGATTTCAGCGTGATGACCTCATTTGAAGGCAAGAGGAGGCAAATAGCTCACTGGAAGCGGGACACACACTCTCTCTCTGTGAGACATCCCTGTTGTCAAGCCACATGGAGCTACCCTGATCTAGCCAGAGCCCTGGAGCTGGAGGAGCCACCCAGAGGGCCACATCAGCGCTGAGATACTTCCACCGCCACTGGGTCCACAAGACTTCCCACCCACTGGCCTGTGATCTTCCTGCACTCGGCGTCATTGCATGTGTTGTGTGAGTCTGAAGAGGACTTTATAGACTGGTATTAGACATATGCGCTAATATTGGGCTTATGGCCTTGATCTGGACTGGGCTGGGATTTTTTCTCAATATATAATTTCTCTTTATAGAAGGCTCTTTCTTAGACACATATGAGTGTCTATGAAGTTGTTTCTCTAGTCTACCCAGACTAACATAGTAAGGTTCACAGCTAAAGAAGAAACTAGAGCCAGGAAAAGCAAGTCCTCACCAGAGCCCGCACAGCCTAATTGAGAAAGCCAAGCAGGTCTCTGTTTTCCAGCTTCACATACTTCCCATCAGAACCCTCTGCCGCACACACCTGCTTCCTCAACGCTCCCGAAAAGCTCTCTGCCTCGTTCCCTGGGTCATAGCTGCCACTCACAGAGGAATGAAAGTATGTAATAAAATAGTTCACTGCTAATTATTAATTAGAGAGAAAGTAACATCTTCGTTATAGTCTTTTGGTGTGGCAGACAATGGAAGAACCCCACGCCTGCAGAACAGAACTCGGTGAATCAAGCAATGGCTAGGTGCTGGGATGGAAGTTCATATTTCGATGCCTGGGGACTAGCCCAGGGAGATCGCCCATCGCCTGTGTGCGTTGGGATTAACAATCTTACTTTGGAGTGGTATGCAAATGATCCAAAGTGAGCTTAGGCCTGTGCTTCCTCCCTCTTTCACAGCCAGCGTGTGGCCCTTGACTCTTGTGGGTGATTGTGAACTCTTCAGAGCCCAGCGGTAAACTTATTTATACAGCTAAGTTTGCATGAACACTTAAAGGTCTAAAAATGACCTCCTTCCTCACGTTGAGCATTCTTGAAAAGTTAAAACAAGCAGGTGTCCATGAAATTTACTTCTCTGCTTGATGCGACCACCACTCCCTTCGCGAACGATAAGACTTTCAGAGTGAAACAACTGGAAATAGAAATTTCCTATGCTCCAGCAACGCCTCTGGAGGGGACATAGCCTCCATCTGCACCCCCTTGTTCATCTCAGCACTGTTCCCAATTGCAGGAAGACGACAGCCACCTAAATGCGCATCCGTAGAATGGATAACGAGTCTGAGGAGGTTCCCACAAGAGAAGACAATGTCTTGCTAGGGAACGATTGAAACCAGGAAGTACCAGTACCTCATGAGATGGATGAGCCTGGGGAGGATTAAGCGGAGTAAATTCAGGCAATCACAAAAGGGCAAAGAGAACAGACTTTGGGATTTGCCAAAGGGGTGGGGGTGGGGTAAGGCGGAAAGGGAGGGAAGACAAAGCAAGGAGCGGATCCGGTTGACCAATGTCAAATTGTGTGAGATGGATGAGAGCCCAGGAGAGAGCTGAGAGACCAGGGAGAGGGGACGGGTACACAGTTGGGGTGTTTGATAAAGGGTTGAAACTGTTATACACAAAGTTCAGGATCTAAAATGTAAACCCTCGTTCACAATTTTAAAAATACATATCAGGGTTTGGGGGTTGGTTGGTTGGTTAAGGTGACTTTATTTCAATGAAATGATGCTTTTGGACTAACTTAAGCTTTTCTCCCAATTTCTCTCCCCGTTTATGTTTCTCAGGACAAACGTTGCCTTTCGTTTCACTGCCAGCCCCTCCCAACCTCAGGTGAGTCCACGGTTCTTAGGGTTGTTACTGTTCTACCTGCTGGTGTTATTCAAAGAAACCATGGTACCAGGTACACTTGCAACTTGAGATATGTGTGCATTTGGGGAACATCACTCATGCCCTGGAATTTTGGACACAACACTTCTCTCATCACCTTCATTGATGTGAAAGGGGAGGCATGGTATTTGTGCGTAGATGAGTTTTGGTTCAACCTTCACTTAGCAAATCGTGTGCCTACTACATGCCAAGCAGCACGTTAGACTGAACTAAGTGCTCGGGATAGAGGAGTGAATAAGAAAGAGACGCAACTTTTGCCCCCATGAAGCTGAGGCAGGAGGAGGAGTGGAAGACCGATACTAAACAAATACAGAGATAATTAGCTGACCTGAAAATACAATAAATATAGGATAGATTTCCATTTCCACAATGCTTTAGGTGGATTGTATAAGTTTCTTTTGCCCTGGCTTCTGAAATAAAAACTAAAGTTTGCTATTCATTATACATTAAGACAGATTTATTTAATGTTGTGATATTTATTGTAAATCTCCCATTAGTTATAATGCAACTTTGATCATGAATGGCTATGGATGTTTTACTTTTGGAGATGTTAACGTGGGGATTAGCATCACATGGCCACTATTATAAATCTAATACAACCCCTGGTGTTCTGATAAATATTTAACAACTGATTCTCCAAGAGAAAACCCTGATTTGGACAGATGACCCCTTCAGTACCAGTGGTGAGTGGCAATACCGGGAGGGCGGAGGGAGGGAGGGGTGGAAAGGGGGAACCAGTTACAAGAATCTACATATAACCCCCTCCCTGGGGAATAGATAACAGAAAAGTAGGTGAAGGGAGATGTCGGATAGTGTAAGACATGACAAAATAATAAGAATTTATAAATTATCAAGGGTTCATGAGGGAGGGGGGAGCGGGGTAAAAAGCAAATGTTTTGAGAATGACGATGGCAACAAATGTACAAATGTGCTTGACACAATGGATGTATGTGTGGATTGTGATAAGAGTTGTACGAGCCCCCAATGAAATGATTTTTTTTTTAAGTTAAAGAAAACCCCGATTTATGGCGTTTGCCTATTCTGTGGCATAAATACCACCCTCACAGGCAATTTCAAGTTTGGGAAGAGAAGTACACACTGAACTTCTGCAAGCCTCTGTGAGCCAATTCCCACACATCTTTTAAGGGGTGAATTTCTCTTTCCAGTAAAATCTTCTACAGTGCAAGGATATGTACTTGTTGACCATTTAATTCAAGAAATAAAGAAAGTGCTAGTTGATAGATACAATGGGAGCTAGCCATTGGGGTGAGGGAGGAATTGCACACTGACTACATATGAAATACACTCTGTAACACAAGAGGGCTCAAAAGCTTTGTGAGCAAATTCCACTACCTTTTCATTTCATTTCCATAAAACTTTTGAAGCCCTCAGAAGTATGATGTACCTTTTGTGACACACACTATAATAGATCACCATGTGGGCTGAAAGTCAGTGATGAGTATATAGTGCGGTTTCTTTTTATTTTAAAAAGCCTGAAACCATTAAAGCCGAAACTAAAATATACCTTGGAACAAACTCGTGAAACCAAGTAGAAATGCTCTGACATATGTAAAAGCTTTTACTTTTAACAGTTTCTCCCCTTTTATTTAATCGCCTCTTTGATTGTAGGAAAAGATGCTTTTCTATTTCCATAAACACATCTAAGGTACTGTACATTCTCAGACAACCTACATCTTTACTATCTGTCTCTGAGTCTGTAGTTACCAGCAGGATGCAGAAACTGGGCAGCAAACCAGGACCTGGAAGATGATGTTTAGCCTAAACTCCAGCTATTTCTTTGGGGACATGTCATCTGATTTTTTTCTGGTAGATTGTCAGGACAAGAGTCATTTGTTTGGCTTTTATACTAACTTATAGAGGAAGGAAGTGGATAGTGCTTTGACATAGGTGCATATGCAAAATCTCCCACATCTACTCCTCAGTCTTCAACGATCTCATTATCTGACGCTTCAAATTCATAACAGTAGTAAAAACAAAAAATTGCTTTCTGTCTTGAGCACTAATGATATACACCTGGCAATAATGAATGTCAAGGTGCAAGCTGAGATTAATGTTAGCTTCATGGTTGAGATTATGTCAATTTCACCGGGCTTTGGTTCTCAGTGGTTTGTCAGTTTTATAATACTATAATTTAATTTATCTGTTACATAGTAATCATCCTCCATTTTGTGATCTGATGTGGTCATCCTGCATATTTACAAAACACCAATGTTTGCATGATAATATAACCACGTGGTGAGTGAAGGATTGGGTGTAATACTGTATATCTATATGAGTGTATATATAAGAATATATATGATGGTGTTATTGCTGACAGTAATCACAGGAATGTTTTCAAGTTATAAAGTATGCTTCTCGAAGAACCAAGCACACCAACCAGAGTACTCAACTTTTTTAATATACAGTTTAAATCAAGCTTCAAAATAAAAGATATAAATGAAATTATTGGGGCGGGGGTGGGGGCGACCTTACCATCTGTCACAAGGCATGAACAGTTTTACAAACAGCTGTGTTAATGATACTTCTTAATTTTGAGATTGTTTTTTCCCTCAGCGAAATTTGAAATGTTGGACGATTGAAAAACGCTTTATCTATATGGCTTTGGCGCTCAGTCTCAGGGCAGTAAAGCGAGTGTTGGGATGCAAAGTCTAAGGTGTTTTGCATCTCTTTGGCAAAGCGTGAGGAGAACCTAGGGATACGTGATGTGTCTTGGTTCCCACCTGTCCTCCAGATCTTAGCCATGTATTTCATGTCAAGTCTCTCCACCAGTTATCAGCTGTATAATTGTTGGGCAGAAGTTTCTTTTCCTCATCGTTAGCAGCATGTTTTACACTGAGAGTTAATAAAATTTTCCAGTGGATTCACAATCTAAGTAGGTAACTAGCACAACTTCTTTCTACTAGAACGGTTTCCTGATTCTCGGCATATCTGAAGCACACTGTTGAAGATATCTCTGCCCGCCCCAAATTGTGAACATAGTTCAAGAAACAAGGCCTAGGACTTGGACTCTAAATCTAAATATATTCTTCCGACAGTCCAATCAAGAAATAGATTCTTTAGCAAAAGAATCTAGGGGAAGGGTGAGCCTAGTGTTAATTCTGCTGATGAAAACGTCATAGAAAATTCTTGAAGAACAGGCTTATCTGCTTTGACAAGGTCAAGCTTCATATTTCAAAGTGACTACATGGTAGAAAATTCTGTCTATTATTTCAGGCATATCCTGAATCCAAAGGATGGAGTGGGGGTGGGAGATTTTTCTTCAAAACTGAAATAAATGTAGCAAAGCTTAACCTAGAAAGAAATGGTTATTGTGCTGCCATAAATAAAATAGCAACACTGTAATGAAATAAGTTTTTACTTGGTCCTGTTATCTCCCTGATGCCTGGCAGTTGCTCACTCTGGATGAGACAAATGAATAGCTGAATTAAGGGAGATTTGGTGAAATGGATATCTGAACCCTATGCCCACTTTTGAAGGAACCAATTCTGAGTTTGAGATTGTCAATATCCTTAATAGTAACCAATCCTCTTTCTTTTTCTTATTCTCAGTATTTTCTATATAAGTTTCCTAAAGATGTGGACTCTGTTATCATTAAAGTAGTATCGCAGATGACTTATCCGTGTTCTGTGGTCTCCGTCCAGAATATCATGGTGAGTCCTAATAGTGCATCAACCTTCCAGCACGGAGCACTGTGTTGTCCTAGAACAAAGGAGAGAGAGAGAGAGGGAGAGAGGAGAGAGGGGGAGACCCTGGCACCTTGTTTACATGTATGCCCCCATAGCTGCGAAGTAAGTAAACAGCACTTCGCACATAAAAGTAGGCAGTACATTTCTTCAGACGTTGATTTGAAGAGACAGAGCATAGTAGATGCCTCAGAAATAAGTAGAAGAGAAAAAAAAAAAGAACGAGAGAGATTGACTTGTGGGCTGCACAAGAGAAATCGGACAGAAACTTTCTGCCTGCTTTATGTCGCTGAGATTTGATTGTAACATTTGTCCCTTTCCATCTCCTACGTATTAATCAAGGATGGGGAAAGTGTTGTATTAAAGACAGTCTTTTTATAGTTCTCTTTGATAGAAAGTGGCCTTGGCATTAGAGAACAAGATAGCAAGTTCTAAGCGGGCTTTGAAATCACTGCTCTGGGGGAAAGCTGTTCATGGTTTCTGACTTCGTAAGAACTCCCTTGCTCTGTAGTCCAAGGGAGGAGGCCTTGACAAGGCCCACGTGGGCTGGGACGTTGTATGACACCAGTGACGCTGTTCTCCTTGCCCCCTGTGCCCCATGCATGTTACAGTGCCCAGTGTATGATCTCGACCACAACGTGGAATTTGATGGTGTCTATCAGTCCATGACCAAAAAAGCTGCTATCACACTACAGGTAAGACATCGATTCTCTGATCGCGATGGTCAGTGATAATGCATGATTTATAGTCAAGGTACCTACGGATCAGCTTCCTAAAGGGGTGGCCATCCATTGGGTATTTTGTTACCTTTTTCCTGTCTGCTTGGTTTTAACACCAGAACCTGAAATCAAAGTTTGGAATATGGGAACAAAACTCTGGCCTGGTTACCCTCTTCTCCGTGGTGCATGGAGACGTATGCTTTGCCGGCCTCTTAGAGAAGTGAGTAAGGCCCTATGGATGAACACAAGGTTCCAGTCTACTCAGTGGAGGTGCCCATTTGAGCCTTAACTTTTATCCAGTCCACTGAAAGCAAAGAAACATGTACTAATATTTCATGTCAGCAACAGTAACCAAAAGAGGTTCTCAGCTCTTGAGAGAATGGGCAAATTCAGTGGAATTTAAACACTGTTTGTGGTCAGGTTACCTTAAGGCATCTGTAACTGGAGTATTATTTCAATGGTAATTTTTTAAATCACTTCATGGCGGCTCTTATAGCTCTCATAACATTCCATACATCAGTTGTATCAAGCGTATTTGTACATATGTTGCCATCATCAGTTTCTAAACATTTACTTTCTATTTGAGCCCTTGGACTGAAACCCCCACCTTTAAAAAAAAATCATTTTATTGGGGGCTCATACAACTCTTAACACAATCCATTTATCCATCCATTGTGTCAAGCACATTTGTACATTTGTTGCCATCATCATTCTCAAAACATTTGCTTTCTGGTTGAGCCCTTGGTATCAGCTCCTCATTTTTCCCCTCCCTCCCCATCCCTCCTCCCTCATGAACCCTTGATAGTTTATAAATTATTATTATTTTGTCATCTCTTACACTGTCCAGATGTCTCCCATCACCCACTTTTCTGTTGTTCGTCCTCCAGGGAGGGGGTTATATGTAGATCATTGTGATTGGTTCCCCCTTTCTCCCCCACCTTCCCTCCACCCTCCCAATATCGCCACTCTCATCACTGGTCCTAAGGGGTTCATCTGTCCTGGATTCCTTGTGTTTCCAGTTCCTATCTGTACCAGTGTACATCCTCTGGTCTAGCCGGATTGGTAAGGCAGAATTGAGATCATGATAAGGGTGGGCGGGGGGAGGAAGCATTTAAGAACTAGAGGAAAGTTGTATGTTTCATCATTGCTACACTGCACCCTGACTGGCTCATCTCCTCCCAGTGACCCTTCCGTAAGGGGATGTCCAGTTGCCTACAAATGGGCTTTGGGTCCCTACTCCGCACTCCCCCTCATTCACAATGATAAGATTTTTTTGTTCTTTGATGCCTGAACCTGGTGCCTTTGACAACTTGCGATCACACAGGCTGGTGTGCTTCTTCCATGTGGGCTTAGTTTTTTCTCAGCTAGATGGCCGTTTGTTTATCTTCAATCCTTTAAGACCCCAGACGCTATATCTTTTGATAGCCAGGCACCATCAGCTTTCTTCACCACATTTACTTATGCACCCGCTTTGTCTTCAGTAATCATGTTGGGAAGGTGAGCATCATGGAATGCCAGGTTAATAGAATAACATGTTCTTGCATTGAGGGAGTACTTGAGGGGAGGCCCAATGTCCATCTGCTACCTTAATACTAAACCTATAAATATATGCACACAGATCTATTTCCCCATCATCATATAAATCTATTTACATATGTACATGCCTTTATTTAGACCTATAAATGCCCTTTGCCTCCTAGCTCTTTCCTCTATTTCCTTTTACTTTCCTCTTGTCCCACTATCATGCTCAGCCTTCATTTGGGTTTCAGTAATTCCTCTCGGTTACATTGCCCTTGATCAAGCCCTACCAGGCCTCTTACACCCTCCTCACCACTGCTTTTGGATCACTTGTTGTTCCCTTGTCCCTGGGTTTGTTAACGCCACTTCCTTTCCCCCACCTCCCCCTCTCCCATATGTGTTCCATTCAATGGTAATTTTATAGGAAGAATATATACCCATCATGTCAGAATATTTTCAAAGAGATTCTGTCCCTGCCTTTAGGCTGGTTACTAAAGCTCAGGGTATGTCTCCAACAAGATCATAATCCCTGTTGGATCACAACAAAAATGAAGAGATGCTCATTATAATTTAGATATCAGACCCAAAATTTTCTACCAATCAAGCTTTCACAATCTAGGAGGATTCCTACTGGGATGGATATACCTTGGGCTACTAACCACAGGTCAGCAGTATGAACCCATCAGCCACTCCATGAGTGAAAGATGAGGGGGCTTTCTGTTTCCAGAAATGTTTACAGTTCCAGAAACCTACAGGGGCAGTTCTACTCTGCCCTAGGCCATAGGGGCCCTCAGATTCAAAGACGTGTCCCAATGATCTGCTCCTGTCTTGTTTACTTTGGGGACATTTAAGTCTTCCTCGGAATTATGTGGGCCAAAATCAAAATGATGGAAAACTAAGCATAGTTGAGCACCTCATTTTATATCACTAGGACCCTACATTAATGAAGCCCAGAAGAGACCAGTACATATCTTCCCTGAATGTATTTTGCAGTGAATTCTCATTCTTCTGTTGGTCCCATGATTCTGCCTTGGGCCATTTGCTCTGTTGACTAACCATGGTGCCAGATTTGGGGGTAGGTAATTAAACACATGGGGTATACTAGAACAAGGTGCTGCCTAATTTTTCCTCTTTGTGGTGGCTGGTATGTTTGAGAGCATTGTGGTGGCTGTCGTGTCAACCCATCTCCCCGGGGGTTCCGTTCGTTTTCGCTGACCCTCTCCTTTACCAAATAATGATGTCTTTTTTTAGCGATGACTCGGTCCTGATGACATGACCAAACGGTAATACACCTAACCATCCTTTTATCCGGCATGCCTTTGTTCATGAGTAAGAGACACAGAGAAGCACACTTGGCTATAGTCCAAGGCAGGACTATAACTCAGATCTCTGCACTTCCTAAATTGTTTATTTAACTGCTGACATGTGTGCCTTCTAGGGCTCCTGGTCGGCGTAGTGGGTTACATGTTGGGCTGCTAACTACAGGGTCAGATGTTCGAAACCACCAGTCCCTTGGAGGAGAAACATGAGGCTTTCTAGCCCTCTAATGATGTCCCGTCTCAGAAACCCACAGGGGCAGTTCTACTCTGTCCTCTAAAGTCGAGAAGAGTCTACCTTGGCTCCATGGCAGTGAGTGAGTTATTAAACATAGGCTATTGACATATTGTGTTCACGGTGTCAAACATCACTGAAATGAGAACAGTTTATCAGTGTACTTGTGTTTCTTGGATGTAACAGGCATTTTGTTGTGGATCATTTGGAGTGCATCCTGGGTCCATGAAAGACCTTTCTCCGGAATTAGGGGTGGGGTGGACTTTGTTTGTCTTCCCTCTCCTCTTTCTTTCTCTCCCTCCCCCATGATCTTTCTCCTTGTTTTCGCTTTCTTTCTTGCCGGCTTATCATAAGCTTGTTATATCTTTTACAGAAGAAGGATTTTCCAGGAGAGCAATTCTTCGTGGTGTTTGTCATAAAGCCTGAAGATTATGCCTGTGGAGGCTCTTTCTTCATCCAGGGTAAGGGATACTGAGGAATGCTTAAAACTAGCCAAACCAACTCTCACTCACTCACTGTCTCACTCACTGTCTCACTGACTCACTCACTGTCTCACTCACTCACTCTCACTCACTGTACCACTCATGACTGACTCACTCTCACTCACTGTCTCACTCTCACTCTCTCACTGTCTCACTCACTCACTCACTCACTGTCTCACTCACTCACTCACTGTCTCACTCTCAAAAGAAAAAAAACAAAAAAAAAAACTAGCCAAACCAACGGAAAGGAAGCCCAAAGTTCCCTTCTCTAACGCTCACTAAGCCAGGTCCCTCCGCAGGGACCTGAAGGCAGTCGGAGAAAAAAATAAAGGGCAGAAAATTAAGTTCTGAAGGGATTGCCAGTATTACAAAGAGGCATTCCGTCTTTTCAAAGTCTTTTACTTCCTCGGACATTGTTGTTGTTGTTGTTAGCTGCCACGCCATCAAGAGTTCTGACCCATAGTCACCCAACGGCACACAGAACCAAACACTGCCCAGTTCTGCGCCATCCTCACAATTGTTCCTGCCCTCGAGCCCCTGGTTGCAGCTGCTGTGTCAGTCCATCTCTTGAGGGGCCTCCTCTTTTTCATGCCCCTCCACTTTACCAAGCAGGACGTCCTTGTTCAGGGGCTGGTCTCCCCTGACTACACGTGCAAAGTATATGAGCAAAGTCTTGGTGATATAATCATTCAGCTGGTCCTTCATGAACAAATATTTGTTACCATGAAGTGATGGTCTTGTTCAGTGAATCAAGAAACCAGAGTCTTTCCTAAGACTGGTTTGGTTGCCAGCTATATGGTAGCCCTTTCTGTGTATCAGTGTTTATCGTTTCCACAAGGAGCTCTAAGGAAAACTCAAAGCTTTTTATTTGATTGCCAAACTTGTGGCATGCGCCATAGGAAGAAAGCAAAGCTGACAACATATTCCCGAGGCAGGAGTTGTGGGCGCTCTTAGACGTGGGCTAGGTAGTAAGGGGTACCTGTCCCATGCGGGAGCCCTGGAGACACAGAGAGCACATGCTTGTCCTTACTTGTCCCACCCATTACTCCTAGGAGAAAGATCGCAGTCTTAGAAACCCTCTGGGGCAGTTCGACTCTGCCTCGCAGTACCACTATGCATGAGCGTGAACTCCGTAGCAAGAGTTTTTTTGAATTCCTGTAGAGAATTTTTTTGAGGGGGTGGGGAGAGGGAGACGAGGCTGCTGAGGAGCTGACCTGGGGAACATGAAGGATGTTTCTGTTGTGGGTCACTGGTTCCCTTGGGACTTAGGTGGACTGTCCGCTGGTCTGTTGCTCAATGCAGTTACACGGCACCAGTGGTGCAAGTGGTTTTCCAGTTTCTTGTCCTGTGGTAGCAAAGCCAGGAGTATTTCAGATGCCAGCAGGCTCACCCACCTTACACTTTAGGAGGAAGGAAAACACACAACAAAGCTCACTGACTTGAAAGAGGCACACTAAAGGGGGTAGCTTTTTACTTCTGTAATTTAATTTTTATTAGTTGGGATTGAATACATACATCATGTCATTCCATATTTCGATCACGTCAAGAAGAATTGTACAATTGTGACCACATCCGTTTCCAAATCATCTCCTTGATGTCATCTCCCTCTTACCCTCCCCCACCACTGTACCCCTGCCCCTGAACCTCATATTCTACCTGCTGTCCCTCGAGGTTCATCAATCCTGGGTTTTGGAAACCGAAAAACAAAAAAGCATATAACACATCTTCCAGAGGTTGACCTCCATTGACATAACACCTCTGAGATACTCTCTACTCTGAGCGAACAAAGCAATACAAACCAAAAATACAGAAAACTTTGGGAACCAGATCAGGTCCAGCCTGCATCACAGGGAGGGGTCGACTGACAGAGCTCTAACTGTTCAGGTCAGATGTATGTCTTTTCTTCAGATGTGTGACATGTGGGGACACATGAATATCAGAAGAGTCCACAACCCTTCACCGCGGAAGGGAGATCACAGACTGGAAGGGAGATCACAGACCCGTTTGCATCTGAGTGCTGCCCAAAACGCACCCAAGCCAAGACCAAACTATACGTTTTAACAAAAAAGGGCATTTGAATGTTTTGAACATTTAGGGGATAGGTTTGTCTCCAGCTCTTATTAAAATAAAATTATACAAGGCTGGGTTACCCAGTAAGCGAAGTAATCCCAGGCTAACCTGTGGTGAAAAACAAGTAACCCTATTCATTTCAGATTAGCAAATAAGCACAAATCCTGTCCATGTCGGGATCGTCAATTTAAAAAAGGTTTTGATGCCAGCCATAACTAGAATCAGTCTTTGATGTGGTGGGAACATGTGAAATTGTTCCCTACAGATTAGGAAATAAGCACAAGTAAACCCGTGCTTGCCTGGCTTATTGGGTAATCTGCCCCAGACAACCAGAGTTAATGCTGGCTTTTTTTTTCCTGGCCTAGTACTGATCCATCCATCATGCTTTGTACTTTCTCTCTTTCTTCCTTTTTTAATACCAGAAAAGGAGAACCAGACCTGGAATCTACAACGAACAAAGAACCTTAAAGTGACCATTGTTCCTTCCATCAAAGGTCAGTGTTGTCTCTAGAAAGAAGTTGAGAAATTCCTATCAGGAAGTGTCTGTCATATAATTCAATGTCATACTTCCCGAGAAAAGATGGCATCCTTCCTGATTCATCTTTGTTTACACTACAAATTGAACTATGAGTCAGAGCATTTTGCTAATAACCTTCCTAAATTGAAGGGGTGCTCATTATGAATTTGCATACTAGCCGTCTCTTCCCAGCTTCTACTGGGAAGTCCTCACCGACAAAGACTGTTGGCAGATAATGTCTAAGTGACCTCAAGGGACTTTGTTGGTCTTAATGGACATTTCTGAAGACAAGACTAGACATGATGGACGCGAGGCCTTTGAAGCTGCTCTGTCGCAAACATGGGCCTGGACGGGTCTCTCTTCTCCCGAGGTCAACCTGACCAAGTTCTTTCTCTTCCCTTAGAATCCGTTTATGTGAAATCCATTCTCCTCAGTTTCCTCATCTTCTTCTCCCTCTACTTGGGCTGCCTGCTTGTTGCATTTGTCCATTATGTCAGGTAGGTGAAGAGTTTCAGAAACATTAACTGCTTTTGCCTGTGAAGTCGGTTTCGGATGAGCACTGCCCTCAGGGCCACAGTGACTGAGTTCCTATCTACCTGGACCACAGTGCCCCTAGGCCAGTTACTTAACTTTTCTGCACTGCAGTTCTGTCATCTGAAAATGAGATGATCTTCATAAAATAATAATATAACTGCGATGTGTGCAACATGATTCTATACCTAATGAGTGCTGGCAGATGGTTAGTTATTGTGTAGTTAATGGAGCCTCAACAACAAAGCAGTAAGTCTCACAGAATATGGGAAATGATCTGTTCTCCTATTATGGGCATCTGGAACAACTGTAAGCATTCCAACGTAACATACTTTGATACTAGATTACAAAGTGCTTTCCAGCTGTTGCTATATTAATTTCCAAGCAATATGTCCTTTGAAAGAAAAGAGCATGGGTCGAGGCACTGCCATTCATAATGTAGAAGCAAAATGTGGTGTGTATCTATCATGGAATGTTGTCTACATAAAGGTGGATTCCCGAAATGTCTTGGAACATGGATGAACCTAGAGGCTATCACTCTGAGTGACATAAGGCAATCACTAAAGGGAAGCTAGGATATATTATATGTACAAAATTATGAATGTTGAAGCCCAAGACTCAGAAAAGGAGCTAGTCCACAGGACTCATGAATGGTCTATAGAAACCATGGCTTTCTAGTTACCCTGAGACCAGTGCTTGGCCCCCACTTCTTGATATTCTTATTAGGCTAATGGATGGATCCTGAGAGAAAGGAGGAAATTGGGGAAGAGAGCTTCAAATTTACAAAAATCCCAGACTTAAACTAGGCCCTTGGGGACAGGAGGAATCCCTGAAGCTATTGGCCTGAGAATTCTTTCTTTAAGCTTTGAACTGAAGAGATCTCAAGTCTCCTTTTAGCGCTTAAGTAATGGCTATCATCCTTGAGTGTTGTACTCTTTTTTTAGAAAAAAACACACAAAAAAAACCCATTTAAATGTGATCAAATTGGCAACAAATTCTTGAAAACACAAATGAGAAGTTTAGGGGTTAGGGCGGGAGGCTGTGAGACAGAACAGAAATCACGAGAATGCTGATGAAGTGTGAGGAATGTAGCCAATGCCACTGAGCTCTATGTGCAGAAATGGTTGCATCGGTCTGTGTTTTGCTGTGTGCACTTCCACTGAGAACCCAATAGAAATCTTTTTAAAGAGGGCAGGAGAAATAACAATGCTGTAATTTTACCAAGGAAATGTCCCTCCCTATTTGTTGGACACCCTTCCCGCCCCCATAAAAAGTGCAGGGTTTCTCCTTGCCTCTCTCAGCGGGCCTGAAGCATGAGAATTCTATCCTGTGTTGTGCTCTCTGTGGAACCATTACAAAAGAATGGCAGGAGGTTTACAATAAATAAATGTTCTGACCCTTCTTAAACATGCAAAGAAAACAAAGCCAGCATCGAATCTGAGGCTATTAGGCAAGAGGAACCACATCTGTAGAAAGACCCCCTGGTTAGCTCAGTGATACCGCTATCTCAATAATGCCGGCCTCTCTCTGACTTGAAAAAATAACACTCTTTGTGACCCGTAGGATGCCTTGAGTTGAGACAGTCCCTTCAAAAACACTCAGAATTACCACTGGCCAAATCTGAGACGATTGGAGTACCAAAATAATGCAGGAGAAGAATTAAGCATAAGGTATTAAAAAAAAAAAACAACAGACATTCGAGAGTCCATATCACTAAAGGAACAATGGGAAAGGTCTTGCGTTAGTGTAGGTACTTTAGAGAAACAAATCCACAGAAACTCATGTATAAGAGAGAGTTTTATATAAAGGGTAAGTGCACATCAAGAAAACATCCCAACCCAGTGCTGCCCAAACCCACAAATCCAACATTGACCCATATGTCCGACACCAATCCACAAAGCCCTCCTCCATCTCACAAAACACACACTATGACGCCGACTGCAGGAGGAAAGCCAAATCAATGAACGTGTAAGCATCTCAGCTCTGCCATTTATCTACCTGCCCTTCAATTAACCCTACATGTGTTTATTGGCCAGATTGGCACAATAAACTAACTACATCAGGTCTAAACACCTGCAGATAAGTGTTCAGTGAATTTGACAGAATCAATGAAACAGTAAACAGAAAGGAAGAATTAGCAAATACTGACAATAGAAGGGAGGACTCTTGTCAACAGTAGAACTTCAGGAACTCACTGGTCCAGGTGGAGGGATTACTAGAGTAGGAAAGACATCATTTTTCAAACCAAACTTATATCACTGAGTAACTTCTGATGCCTAGTGACCCCATAGGACTGAATAAAATCCACAGGGTTTCCATGGCTGTAAACCTTTACAGAAACAGACTGCCACCTCTTTACAAACAGCAGAGCTTGGATTAGGTTAAGAGTCTCCAAGGAAGGGTGGGGAAAGAACCATCAATGGATACAATGAAGGGATTGGGAACTGATGTCATGAAATATAAATGTATATAAATTGTTGACTGTCACCCAAATCACAATAAAGTGTTCAGCAATACTATCAATGAAAAGAATCACCAGTGGATGTTCTTATCCAGCAGGAAATTCTGATAAGAATCAAGGTATTTGCATATCCTTACAAGGCATCCCCACTAATTGCATAGCAGGTGCAAGGGGGAAATTGAAAGTACTTAGTGGGAAAATCGGATAGCACATAACTGGATGAAACAAAATTAGCATCAGCAACAAGGGGCCGATGAACATTGAGAGCGTCCAGCTGTGACACCCCAAGAAGGCCACAGCATCACGTATAGAGCCCTCTTCTGAATCTAATCATGAGGACAAATGACACAAACACAAAATGAGGGACATTCTGTATAGAAATGTCAGAAAAGGTAAAGAATGAATGTTGATGTTTCAGATTAAGCAAGCCTAAAGAGATCTGACAGCTAAAGACAGTGCCTGGCCTTAGACTTGATCTTATTTAGGAAGAAAAATGTGCTACAAAGGACACTTGGATCAATTGGAATACAGATTATAGATTACATATATCCCTGTGGTTACATAAAAGAGCATCTTTACTCTTCGGAAATATTTTGGAATAAAAGTCCATGACTTCCTCACAAATTATACAGGAAAAAAAATCGTGTGTGTGTGTGTGTGTGTGTGTGTGTGTGTGTGTGATCAAAAGAATGTTAAAGCAATGGAGATCATACACTAACAAAGAGTGGGCATCTTTGTTCCTTCTCAACCCTTTTGTTGGGGAGTCCATGCGTGTCCTCTATTCTATTCTTAATCCAGCAACTCCTCTGAAAGCCTAAAATTACTGTCAAGTAGAAAGCAAAAACAAAATCCCTGAGCTACCAACAAATCTTATACCTGGAAGATGTACACATTAACTGGTTGTCAGCTCAATTAATTTATCAAATGATAGTAATGACTTATATTTTAAAAGCACCTCTTCTATGCCAGGCTGTGTGCTGAGCCCTCTCTATAGGTCATCTCATTCAGTCCTCTACAAACACGAGCACGATTCTTGTCACCATTTGACAGATAAGGAAATTGAGACATAAAGAGATTAAAAAGGTTTGCCCAAGAATCCACACCCCGTATGTGAAGGAGGTGAGATTCAAACCCAGGCAGCTTGAGTCCAAAGCATTATCTCTTAAGCAGAGTGGCCAAGAGGGATCTGGAGAGGTCAGGGTATGTAAGTTAGGGGGCAGTAATCCTGATCATAGAGGCCAAACCAAGGGCCCGGCGACCCGGCAAAGATTTGACTAGAAAGAATGGGGAGTGCTTTTTAAACTGCCACTTGAGTTCCAGATGAGTCTAATGCTACGTAAAAGAAGTTACTCTTGTGCTTCTCTCAGGTAGAGTGTCTTTAACTGGTTTAACTTTTCAACACCAGTTTTCATCTCTCCAGTTAGCTGGCATGCGTAGCCAGCATACAGACAACAGTAAATTAATATCAGGGGAGCACTTTTCACAGTAGCCGTAAGGTGGAAACAGAGGAACGAATAAGCACAAGGCAATGTGTGCCTTCAAAGGGCTATTCGCCATCGAGAGAAATGAAACTCGGATATAAGACACCACGTTGAGGACTTTATGCTGAGTAAAATTAGCCAGTTGCAAAAGGCTAGATACTGAATGATCCCAATCATTTGAATTAAAAATTATGGAACTAAAAATTAGTGGTTACCAGAGGTGAGAGGGAAGGAGGAAGGGTCAGGTTTGCTGAGGGGCTGTGTTCATCGTGGTGGAATAATGTGGGGAAAGAAAGGCGTCTGGTTGCACAACATGGAGAATGTGATCAGTCTTACATGGAGTCAGCCATCTGTGTGCTGAGGCACGTTGGTTCCTTTTTTACTGGGGTTTAGGTGACAGTGGACAGAGCAAATTTGTTTTCCAGTCAACGATTCCATAAGCATTTTGTTTCATCACATTAGTTCCAACCCTCTGGATGGAACAGCAATCTCCTCCCCTCGTCGCTGGGTTCCCTGTTTCCATTTGCCCTTGTTTCCTGCCTCCTGTGCTGTGTTTGTGGGTACGTGCTGCCCTTGTCTCTCCTGTGGTTGATTCTGCCGAGAAGCCCATCCCTCGTGAGCGTTACTGGTCATTTTATAAGTCTATGTGTGGTTTCGTTGAAATGTGATCCCCGAGGTGGGTTCCGTTCTAGGTTTGAAGAATTTCCAAGGGCCAGCGTGTCAGAGGCTCCACCAGTCTCTTCCGGATCAGGAAGTCTGGTTGGTTTCTGATTTTGAATTGTGTTCAACGTGAGCTCCCCATTCTCTCCAGGATCTTCTGCGGTCGGGAGTGGTAGTCGGGCATCATCTAGCTCAGTGTTTCCCAAGGGGAGTGATGCCGCCTCCTGAGCGGTGCCAAAACAATCCAGGGGGTGGATGCAAGCGCATCTTTAACACCTGAGGCAGGAGGGTGGGCTGTGGGTCAAAAGTGTTTCATTGCTAGTGGGGCGCTGAGTAATTTTTTTTTTCCTGAAAAGGGGTGGTCGGTCAAACAAGTCTAAGAATTCTTCCAAACTGAGGGTCATGAAGGCTGTGATGCACACAGTCCACCAATCCTTTGGGCTGATGGCTTACTGGGGCCTTTGGTTTTCTTTCCTCTGGAAGGAGAGAGACCAATAGTTGCCCAGAATGGCTTTAAAGACCACGGTTGCTACTCGTCACAGTCACGTGTAGAGCATGGCTTTGTGAAGCACACTGTGAACTTGGTGAAGGATTTATTGTGAACATGCTCACTGTAATTCCCTTTTAAGTTAATAGTGGAATATCAATCTCCCTAAAGTTGTTATTTAGCCTTCTAAAGCCAATACAGTGTTTCCAAATTGTGGTATAAAACTCTCTGGAAACTTCTAACTGCCAGTTTATTTTGCTACAGTCAAATGCACAAACATAGAGTCTTTCCAAATATAGACAAACTTAAAATAGAAATCTGGAGACATGGAACACTTTAAATAGGAGACTAGATTGAGAGGGAAATGCTAACAGAAGTCTTAATTCCACCGAATTAAGCAGAAAGAACACGAAGCCATATGAAGTCAGCCCTCACGACACCATGCTATTTGCTCGGTGACGCTCAGGCACTGTCTGCTGTGCAGTCGATACTGATCATGGTGGTCCAGTAGGACAAGGTCGAACTGCTCCTTTTGAATTTCCAGGACTTTAAATATTTATAGGAGTAGACAGCCTGATGTTTCTCCCGTGGAACAGCTGGTGGGTTGGAACTGCCAATCTTAATATATGTGGCTTTTGTAGTTCATGTAGTGCAATCAGGAGAAACTACATAGCCCCTGCCCTTGGGAAGCTAAATCCCAAAGGGCTTTATGCTAGATCGGCCTGAGCCTACACACCATTCCTTTCCTACCCCCAAGGCCCAATACACGCAACAAGTATTCATGAAGCCCAGGTCCCTGGGTAGCACAAACAGGTAAGGGTTCAACTTCTAATAGCTGAAAAGCCAGCAGTTCAAACACAGCAGAGGTACCTCAGAAGACAAGTCGGGTGATCTGTTTCTGAGAGACCAGACCACAACCATCGCCCAAAGGCAAGCGCTTCACATGTTTTCTTATTTATTCCTCTCAACTACTCTACTAGACATTAAATTCAAAGTGCCCATCCTAGGGACTCTTCCTTACCTTTGATTCTTATATTCGTTATCTACTGCCACAATAATGCTGCATGAAAAAAGAAAAAAGAAGCAACAATCAAAGACACACACAAACCCCAATGAATTGCAGCTATCAATAGTTAAGTGTGCTGAAAAAAGAAAGGTCTGTCGGTCAGCTGGACATTTCTGCTAATCTGGACTAGGCTCAACAGATCTTAGGCGAGCACAGTCATGAGAACTACCGGCTGGAGGGTCAGCTAGGAACTGGCTGTTCTAGAAGGGCCGCAGGTGCACTTGATCTCTCATGTTCCAAGAGGCTACCCCGAGCTTACTGCATCTCCACGAGAGACAGGAGGCAGGTGCTAGACCGCCATAAGGAGTTGTTTCAGAACTGGAACAATGTCACTTCCCCCTTTCATTCGCTTGACTCAAACCATTGGCAAGTCCACTCTGTGTTCAAAAGATGAAGATGAAGACTGTCTTTTGATCAGAGAAGCTGGATGTTAAGATGGGGCGTGGTCGTGTTTATAATCACCATAGCACTCTTCTCATTTACAGTGTTTGTCTTTGTTCCCTGGTTACTGCCCCGTCCCTTAGCTTTGAAACCTTTCTGCTCTTTGGACTGAAGAAGAATTTTACCCGTTTCAAAAACCTAGAGCAGATACAGCATCTTTTATGAGTCCACATAGTTCCATGCCAGTCAGGAATGCCCTCCTAGAGATGTCCGCATCACCTAATCTGCAGAACAAAGTGGATGCCTCTTTTTACAAATCCCACTGACAATGTAGCAGAGGCCCAGTTTCTTCAGCCCCAAAGGCCTTTATTCAAGAACTCCTAGAGCAGTAAAAGTCCGTAGGGGACAAATGTAAGCTACTATGGTTTTCTCTGTCTTAGGACCATATGTCTATCTGTTCTTCTTCCCAGGTTTCAGAGAAAATCCGTCCATGGAAGCTTTGGTTCTAATGATGGTAAGGAAAATTCCTGATTTCAATTCCACATATGCTGTCCGGTGGAGGGGGGTGCATGCTATTGGATACCTCTTTGATCACTCTACCCTTTGCAGTTCCCAAACCGCCCCTTGATTAGTATCCTACAGAGTAGTCTAATCCATAGATGGTCGAAGGAAGGCACAGCCAGTCAACATCCATTTTTAGAACTGATCATTATTGTCATCAGTGATTGTGATCTTAGAGCTCACTCTAAGAACCTCTGCTTGGCGTGTCCTTGAAAATATCCTAAGCCTATTTTCCAGCTGTTCATCTTTGTAAAAGATTAATCTTTTTTAGGATATAATATGCAATAAATGGCCGTAGAGAGCCATATCTGACCTCCTCTGGATTGCCTGTTATCATAAGGTCAGACAAGCTTTCATGGGCCATCTGACACCAACCATTCCCCTCATGCCGTTCTGTGTCTATGCTGGGTTGGATAATTCTTGCAGTGGTCCCACAGACCCCACAGACAGTATTCGCAATAAGGACGTTTACCAGGGAAGCAAAGCACAAGTCAAAATTAGCAAACAGTAGAGATCCAGACATCGGTCTCTTCAGCCAGCAGCCAAGTCTTTCTAGGGTGCTCGGTCTGTCAGCCCCACAATCCCTTGGCTTTTGCCTCCATAGCCAGGAGGTATCCAACCTCCCTGTTGTCTGTCCCACCAGTCCATAGACTTGGCGAGATCAGGAGAAAGTACCGCATAGTCTTAGTGCTGCTCCGTGAGTTTCCATGGCACAGTCTCTGATGCATGGGCTCAGCAGCCTCCACCACTACCCAAGAGATCTTGAATGTACTCTTCCAAGGTCCTGGGGTTTTGCTCTCCTCGACCACTGCTTCAAAAAATAACCCATCCTTGTAGCCAGGGGGTGCTACTGAAAACGGACCTTATACACGCCCCGTTTGCATCGTCCCACCCAGTCATGTGGTGGGCATACAGAGACATGGATAGAAAAGCAGGCATCAAAGAACAAAATATCATATCATTGTGAATGAGGGGAAATGCGGAATGGAGACCCAAAGCCCATCTGTAGGCCACTGGACATGCCCTTACGGAAGGGTTGTGGGGAGGAGACGAGCCAGTCATGATACAGTACAGCAATGATGAAACATGCAACTTTCCTCTAGTTCCTAAATGCTTCCTCCCCCCACTATCATGATCCCAATTCTACCTTACAAATCTGGCTAGACCAGAGGATATGCAGTGGCACAGATAGGAACTGGAAACACAGGGAATCCAGGACAGATGATCCCTTCAGGACCAGTGGTGAGAATGGCGATACCAGGAGGGTGGAGGGAGGGTGGGGTGGAAAGGGGGAACTGATTACAGGGATCTCCATATAACCTCCTTCCTGGGGGATGGACAATAGAAAAGTGGGTGAAGGAAGACATCGAACAGTGCCAGATATGACAAAATAATAATTTATAAATTATCAAGGGTTCATGAGGGAGAGGGGAGGGGGTAGGGAGGGGGAAAATGAAGAGCTGATGCCAGAGGCTTAAGTGGAGAGCAAATGTTTTGCAAATGTACAAATGTGCTTTACACAATTGATGTACGTATGGATTGTGTTAAGATTGTATGAGCCCCCAATAAAATCATTTTTTTAAAAAGAAAGAAAAATTTCACTCCACCACATAATGGTTTATCATTATCTTATTCCTAAATTGATTTCTGAGCGATAGTAGAAATTTCATGTGCCAATTCCAATACAGAGTTTGCTTTCCCCAAATTTAGAAATGAGTTCTTTTAGTTGCTGTCATGTAAGTATCTAGAAAATTGAAATATTTGAGACTAGAAGATATAGTAAAGTTTCTAAATAGCTTTAGAAATTCCCGAGTAATTAAATAACCAACCACTGTCACCTGCCTTTACCTACACTCAGAGTTTGAGCAAAGAAATACAACAGCCTACTCTTTTCATCAAAACTTTAAAATATTATTAAGTGTCATCGGTTTTGAAAAGCTTAAATCAATAAAAGTCACTCTGTGCTCGGAGGTGTTTGGTTACAGAGATCATCTGAGAAAAGAATGATAAAATGAGACTTGATTTTTAAGTCCAGGGTAGCAGGACTTATAAGGAAACAGACAATTGTGTTTTGGTTTTGTCCTTTTTGCTAAATAAGCCCATGGACTCTTGGAAAGACACAAACTCGTCTCCAACGGTCTGTGTGTCCCCCCAGCAGGACGTTTCCTCCCTTTGCGGGAGAGCTCATTTTCCCTGCCTTCCTTTGCATTTTTTCTCCTTTAATATCAGCATGTCTATTTTTCCAGCCACCCAACTACTTTGCTTTGATAAACACGCAACTGCCAGTAGAGTAGACTTGAAAGGAGCACCTGCTCTGGGGGCTCTGAGTGCTGCTTTCCCTCTTATTCAAACAACATATATTAAATGGACTGGTCTTTTTCTGGAGGTCTTCCCTTTTCTTGGGGTGTTCCCCAGATCTTTTCCGTTCCTGTAGGCTAATTCAACTTAGAAAGTCCAATTGGTTGGATCCCGTTGGAGGTTCTGTAAATGGATGATGGTCTGTTACAGCAAACACTCACTGTCATTGAGTCTATTCCAATTCACAGCCGCCCTAGGAGACAGAGTAGAACTGCCCCTGTGGGTTTCTCAGACTATAACGCTTTGTGGGAGTAGAAAGCCTCATCTTTTTCCTGCAGATTGGCTGGTGGGTTTGTACCACTAACCTTGAGGTGAACAGTCCCAAATGTAATCCGTCATCCACCAGGATTCCTATTATAGTTAAAGGAATGCCACATCCAGATCTCCTGAATACTGGAGCTGATGTGGACAGAGCTGGTACTTGAGTAGATCATTTTCCCAGGTCAGAAAGTGTGGGAAACAAAGATTTCTCCCAAGTGGGCTCCCCCAATAGGGCACTGCTTGCAGCTAATGATAAATGATTGTAAAGTTACCTCCCAGAAGGGAGTCACTTGCCAGATCACTCTCTGGATTGGTGGGGCCTGCTCCCTGCTGTTAAGGACAATGGGCTACTTCTCCCTAAAGTCTTGCCACCATTAGCTTGGTCCCTGTAGGTGGGGTTTACACCCTACTGATAATGGTTTCTATGGAGATCCAGAGAACAGGTCAAACCAAACTGGCTTACTGACATCCAAAGTTAGGCTGCCATCCTGAATCTAGGATCCGCTCTTCTTGTCACATGTGTGCCCCAAATCCCTCCTCTTCCTGTTGCGTGGATACCCCTAGATCACCCCTCCCATTACTGTA